TAAGGAGAACTTTTATCGATTTCTCTTATCGCTGACATGTTTTACTTCTACCCCATTCCTATATAACTGTACTGGCCCGACGAGAATTTATCGAAAGCTACGTATGCTCGCCAAACTGTCTTTTGGATGAAAAGTGGAGCCTGCAGTAGACAAGCCCCAGCCTGACTCCTAGCCCCTAACCTCAGCCCGAAATACTATAGAATTACGCAGCATGATGATCGATACTACAACTCCGCCTAAGTGATCCCTCCTAATAGAACACATGTTTCAGAATTTCGACCAACATTTCATGAGATCGATCAGTCACTGGAAGAAATATCGGATGTCGACTTGCCTTGCGCTCACCTGTGCGGTTGAAGTCGGAACCCCGTATTAGAGATGATAAGGTGGCCATCCATCTAGAAATCGGCACCGCTCACGAGCGAGACGAATGCCATTGGCAGAGGGGGATGCAAACCATTTTGTCGTCGCCTGGATCGGGAGTCGGAAGAAGGTGTTGGACAGAAGAAGATTTAGCTCCGCGAGGGGAGAAGGCCATTGCTGTTAGAACTGCCGATTCCGTAGCAGCCAAGCAGCACTCCCACCCAGGCAGTATGGCCGTTGCCGACGCGGACTTTATGGTAACCAAGGGCGACCGCTTAGGAGAATGTGCATATTTACTTTGGACTTGTTCTTCACGTCATTGAAGCTGGCTGTGGGGTGGGGCTGGGTTGTGCAGGTTCCCACTTTGGTGACGAAATTGTTCCCGAGAAGAGGCATGACTCCGTTCATGAAACGCGGCAGGCACGACAGATGTCATACGACGTCTTTCCTGACGGCGAAAACGAAACGTGATAGTCGATACTTGTCAGCATTTCGACCTCGTTGAATTTAATGATGTGGCTTGGTCCTATCGAATAAAACACGACTAGAAAACTCGCAATGTTCCACCTCATTTCTGACACGTCTCTCACCCCACGTATGTGAGACCACTCTTCCGTTCTCTTGACATAGTGACTTTGGCCATAACTACATCGGATCCGACAAAAGGCCCCCGACGTTTCGTATCGTGACAGTGGGTCTTTTGGACAGGACACGCACATTGGCTTATCATCACACCTCCTGGTCCACAACTCAAACTGACCAAGATTGTATACACAATTAGGGAAGAAGTAGGAATGGCTCGGATCCCACGGAGTATGAGTGTAGCGGGCAGTCATCATAACTGGTCTGGCGTCATTGGTCAAAACCTCGCAGCCTCAAGGTCATTCACCCTTTTGCAGTGAGCCGTTCCAGACGCGCTGCCCTGAAGTCGCACGACCGACAGCTCGGACACACCTGCGTCCGCACAGACGCAGCTGCCCATGCGGCCACTTAAACGCACAGCCTCCCTGCAACCACAACCTAGGCCACTAGGGCACCACCCCCCGGCAAATGCCACACCGATTTGATACCACTCGAGCTTTGCCCAGGAGCCTACAAAAGAGGCTGCCACCACTGTCCCAGCGACTCTCAGGGCTGACTGGACGCAGCCAACATTAGCCCTGGCTTCGCCGGTGGTCACTGCCGCCTGAGAGGACAACACTGGGTTTTGTGTGCAGTAAACCCCACATTCAGGTTCCTTCTGTTTTCTCCTTCACACATGGGATTTGGCCTGACGATAGTAGCGCTCTGAGTACAGACGTACACACTCACACCGCTTGGTCACGACAGGAGTGCGATAAGTGCCACAATACGAGGGAGCCATTACAGCCTGGCTCTCGGTCCGCCAGTCGGCCACTCCACACAAACACACACACACACGCAACTGGGCTGACTGCGAGGACCCAGTTATCTCGTCAGTTGGCAACCCTTCGAGTCTCGGCTTTTAGCGCACCGCGATAGCTTCAAGCGCTCCAGATTGTTTATAGTGAGGAGGAAGATGCGCTGAGCCGTCGACCCCGATCTCCCTTCCCACTCCCAGGCCACAGCCATCGTCCGAGCTGGTCAGTTGTCTGGTGCGGGAAATGAGCGTGGTGGCTGACAGTGCCAGTGGGCCCGTCTGCGCGTGCCACGCACGCGACCTGGCCTACTAAACACAAGCTCTGGGATTTCTCAAACAGGGACTGGACGACATGCATATCATATGCGTGGGGGTGCCAGGGTTCACGTCAAAAGGGAGCCATTGCGGCCTGGCTCTCAGTCCACCAGTCGACCATTCCGCACAAACACACACACTGGGTTGATTGCGAGGTCTGTGTCTCATCGCCAGTTGGCAATCTTCTAAGTCATGCCACTTATCGCACTGTGAGAGCCTCTGGTCCGGATCACACATGCAGCATAGGAGTCACATGGGGAAGTATTCGAGAAACGCACTTCCCACAGGTGCCAATGACTAGTGAAGACTCCCTGTTGAAGTTCGCAGCCGATCCTGTTACGCTTTTCATGCCAGATCCCGTTATGAAGGCCTTTTTGGCGCAGTCGACAGTACACGACATTAAATAGGAACGACCACCCCCTACAAACCTTGAATTCTCCGAAACTGCCATGTTTAAACGCAATAGGCAAGCTGAAGACCTTCATGTTGGCCTTTGCTGTCGTTAAAAAATGGACTCGGACAAATCCGAGGGAGTAATCCTGGGCCTATAAGCGTCCCTCCCACCTCAAAGCGCAAGGCCACATTCTGCCCTCAAATTAGCGTGTATCACTGTACGACACTTCAGTGATTTTGACTATTTCCGACCATACCTGACAGGTCATAGTATATGGTTCAGTGTTGAAGCCTTTTTCCAATGACCAGCTCTGGCCTGTTTCAGACCTCGACTATGTGCGAATTGTCATTGATTTTACTCCTCCACCAGGTAAACCGGGGTGCCCGCGACCCCTGGGTGTTATCGAGATCGTGTGTGATCCTGGGTAGGGGAGAGTCTGGAAGGCTGTTGTTACTGATCAGAACAGAACATGAAGCACCTGTTTTATCTTACATCTCCGGTACAGAGCCCTCACAGTCGAGCACACAGCGCCGACCAATCAGTACTCACAAATTGCTACTGATGAAGGCAATGGTTTAGTAAACGGACATTATACAAGTGCATGCCGGGAGGAGAGTTAGACAGTTCTTTTCAGACAAATGCCCTTCCAACGCTCCAATCTCTCAACTAAGGGGGAGTAGACTGGCGGATTGCCTAAAGACGGACAGGGTCATTCCAACTGCCGGCTGGATAGAGCGGGGTGCTGGGAACGAGGATTGTTGCTGACTGTGCTGTTTTGACTGTGAGGCTGGGATCTACATGCTATGGTGTGCTCTCAGATAGCGTGAGTGCCCGGCGTTTCTTTAGAACACCTTTTATGACTCCTTCCTCCGCGAGGGGTAAACACTGCTATCCCTAAATAGGGCTGCTTAAACATTGCAGACAGCTGCTGAAATCCACCGTGGGCCACGGCTCTGTTTAATGGGGAGCGAACCGATTTGGTCTTGACCCCCAATGGCATTGCATGTCACTCTTTCTGTGCGACACACACAGCACCGGATACCCCCATTTGGTTCGGCCCTCCGGTTGAGGCGGTTACCGGCGGTGTGACTGTGGGTTTTGCATTAACAAGCCACGGCATACTTGTGAATGACTTAGACCCAGCATTTGTTGAGGACACCTTTTATAGCCCTTCCCCTCAGGGGGCCAATTTGTGCTATCCCTAAATAGGGTTGCTGGGACAGCCCAGACATCTGCCGAATTGCACTATGCGTCAGGGCTTGCTTTAGTGGGAGAACGACCCCAGTTAGCTCGGGTGGCCTACGGGAATGCACGTCGTTCTTTCTACCTGGGATTTCTTGAAGTGGAAGGGGAGAGGAGTGGGAGGCGAATGGGGACAGAACTGCCTGGCGCGGGGACCGGATACCCGCGTCCGGTTTAGCTTGCCGGTCGAGGTGGTCACTGGGGTGTGGCGGCTAGACCGAGCCCAGTTTCTGGGAGTTTGATGCCGGTCAAGGACCGTTTGGAGTAATTATCGCCTACACATCTACACGGTTTCTCCCTCGCTGAACACCACACAGACATCTATGGCAATAGTCAAGGACTCGTCCGAACTCAGCGAAGTCCAGCAGCTTATAACTACGACACATGCAGTTCTTAATTTATGCCATTGGCAATCCCCACTAGGAGTTCGGCATCATTGGACGTGAAAGTACGACGGAGGCATGCGTAACACGCTGACGTCATCCCCCTCCCTTAGTGTCACCAAGCTCCCTGCCTTCGTAAGCATTTCCGTAAATGTGCCTCAGCTCTATCTCTCGTTTATTACACTACCAAGACAAAGCTCGTCGGCTGGAAGCAAAATGGCACATTTGCGTTTCGTCGGCTAGATCGCAGTTGGAAGCCAGGACTCATATTACAGGTTGCGGGGGGTTTGTTTACTGAGGCTATTTTGTGGGGTTCCATAACCACATCTGACCCATTGGGCTTCCGTTTTACGTTTGAGGTTAGGCTTAGGGTACCGGTTAATGGTTTCCGACTTTCAGGTTACGGTTATGCCTTTAGGCTTAGGTTTTGGGGTTACGGTTAGGGTTTGAGCTTACGATTACGTTTCAGTATTACGGTTAGGTTTTCCAATTACGCCTGTGTCTAAGGGCTACGGTTACGTTTGCGATTTCGGTTAGGGCTAGAGTAAGGGTCGCCGTTAGGGTTAACGGTTAACGTTTGGGATTGAGGTTAGGGTTAGGGTTTAGGATAGGACTAGAGGTAAGGTCGCCGTCCGCTTCCCGATTCCTGGCTACCAACTACGATCTCGCCGTTTCGTCATTCTCATTCGAAGCCGGGGTAGACCTATACGGTCCAAATTACGTCAAATACATCAGGCTGATACGGGCATTACTTTGACGGCAAATATGGAGATCAACATATGTCGGTCGAATTGGAGTCAAATCATCAAGACTCGGGACAAAAGGAAAGAGGAGCGTTTTCTGAAGTTATTATTTTTCTGACAAATGACCTTCTAAGCTTATATGTGGAAATTATCGTCCTCCCATTGGCTTACTATTACGACTTCTAGGTGGTGGCGGTTTTCGCAGCTGTTTTCGTGGCTGTCGAAGCTTTTGTGGTGGTTGTCGAAGATGTCGTGATGGTTTTCGGAGATTTTGAAGTGGTTTTCGGAGATTTTGAAGTGGTTTTCGGAGATTTTGAAGTGGTTGTCGAAGATGTCGTGGTGGTTGTCGAAGATGTCGTGGTGGTTGTCGGAGATGTTGGAGTGGTTGTCGAAGATGTCGTGGTGGTTGTCGAAGATGTCGTGGTGGTTGTCGGAGATGTTGGAGTGGTTGTCGAAGATGTCGTGGTGGTTGTCGGAGATGTTGGAGTGGTTGTCGAAGATGTCGTGGTGGTTGTCGAAGATGTCGTGGTGGTTGTCGGAGATGTTAGAGTGGTTGTCGAAGATGTCGTGGTGGTTGTCGGAGATGTCGTGGTGGTTGTCGGAGATGTTGTAGTGATTGTCGGAGATGTTATTATGGTTTCTGGAGATGGCGTGATGGATGTCGGGGCTTCTGTGGTGGTTGTCGTCTCGGGAGCCTGCTGCAGGCATGTGCAGATGCAGGGCTTGCAAGACTTCTGATTGTCTCCAAAATCTTCGTACATATGACCCTCGGCGTTGAAAATGGTTGCAAGAAGTGTGCAGAGAAGTAGGATCGGCAGGCGCATATTGCCCGTGCATGTCTTATCCACCGCTCTTATATATACTGCACAAACAACGATCCAACAGTAAACATATGCACGACACAGGGCTCATAAATCTGGTCACAAACGATACAGCTGGCGAGTCCATGCGGGTTAGCCTCCTCAAAGTTGACTGCCTTGTGCCCTAATAGAGGGTGCGTTTTGAGGAGTCTTATAGCTACGCATTTTCAGCGGTTCATGTGATTGGCTCCAGCAAACTTATAGCTAGGCACTACTGTCTACTGTGTAAAAAGCGATTTGCGAATTGATGAGCATCCTTCCCAGCTGCTTTCATAGAGAACCTCGTCAATAAATAATAATACATCTGCTTCCAGAAATTTCCTAAAAAGAAAAAGTGTGGAAGGGTAAGTGGCGGAAAACCGAAATGCATTTCAACCCACTGCTATGTCCCACTTAGGCATCCGAGTTCAGTATAATTCAGCATATATGAGGGATAGAGGCAGAGTCTTGGAAAACCCTATTTACAGATCGACGTTTGAAAAAAACATGCAAATATCTACATAGCAGTTATGCCAGTCATTTGACCATCAAGCATCAATTTATCTAGTCTTTTTTGAGGGTCTCAACGTTTTCCGCTAAGACAACGGAGTTCGCTAATTTGGTCTATCCTTCAACCAGCCGGTGGGAGAAGAATTTGGCTCGCAATTCGAGTTTGGCGTATTTAAGCTTCAATTTGTATTGGTGCCCTCGAAGATTTGTCGCCCACGCCAGTTCGAAGAAATCGTCAAACTGAAGAGCACAGTCTAGCCCTTGGACGATCCTGAAGGCCATGATCATATCCCTCTGCATTGTCAGAGGAAATGTTTTTGACTTCTCCAGCCGTCTCTCATAAGGTAAACTACTTAATCCGCCGACTAGCTTGGTCGCTCTTCGTTGTACGTTCTCCGGTAGGGTGTAATCTTGTTTCGTCCAGGGACACCATGCCTGGACACAATATTTCAAAATTGGTCGAACGTATGCGCCAAATACTCGGCCGAAAAGTTATTCGTCAAAATTGACAAAAGATCTTCTAATCGCGCCTAGAATACCTATAGCTTTCTTTGATAACTTGGCGCAGTGAGACGATGATTTAAGAGTTGACGTCATCCACACACTGAGGTCTTTTAACTCGTTGACTGATTCGAGTTGGTGACCTCCTATAAAGTAGTGAGATTCAAATCACAACGGCCTCCTGTTGCTCGATCGTAATCGGATAGGTTGGCATTTGTTACGATTGAGGCTGAGATACCACTCATCACACCATTGTTGCAAGCGATTCAGATTGTCTTGTAACTGTACAGAGTCTTCTGTCTTCTCTATTGATTTCCACAATTTGAGATCACCGGCAAACATTACGCGCTCGCAGTTCAGACAGTCCAGGCAGTCGTTCACATATATTAAGAACAAAATTGGACCCAGAACGCTCCCCTGTGGACGGATGCCCACTCCGATTTAGCGTTTCCCATATACACACGCTTTACATATATTTGATTTTGAAAAATGGTCGAAAGCTTACTTTCTTTGCAGTTTAGCTTAAAATGTGTCCAGACGAGTTTAGACTGGGGCGTGGAACTGATCTATGTGAGCCATGCCGAGAAAACTATGTAGTGATACCCTCGACACGCATATATGGACACGCGTAGAGGCTTACAGGGTTGTTAACCAACGAAGCAACTCGGTTCCCATATTAAGTATTACGGAGTAAAGGGAGGACTAAATCAAGCTGCACTGGCTCCTTCCATTTGTGATCTTTTCGGCATTTTCGCTCATGTGGAGTCCGGGCCGCTTTCACAGTAGCCTGGAGACCAAATCATGTGTGGCACTCGTAGACGGGATGTTAGGTTTTGTCAATTACTGCAAGCGTACCCACCTCCGGTTACCTTCACATCGTCATGACATCGGAGCAAGACAGGTGGGGGAAGAGAGAGAGTGCAGTAGGCGCAACGAAAGTCCGTCCCATCACGAACTGATTCGCGCGCGCAAGTCACCAGCGTTAAGCCTACTCCATGGAGGGCGCGATTGTGGTGGTAGCTTGTGACGGTGAACTGCCGTCGACGGGAATTTCGAGTTTTAACCAATCCGCAATAGATTTGACATGGACCTGGAGGGGGTATCCGGCGAATCTACGCGAGCCACGCACGACCCGTTCTCACGTCACTCACCAGGCCTCCGCGAGGGCGACTGGGGGCCCGGGCAATTGGCGGTGTCATAAAGGGCAGAGCAAGAAGCCGGTGAAGTCTGGCTCTCACTCCTGAGAGGGAGCCGGCCATCCCATCAGCTTACACAACTCCATGCCACAACTCTTGGCGGGTCGTGATGGATTTAAACGCGTCAGATCTACTATAGTGAGGAATCGCTAATGTGCCGTGAAGATGCATTGCCTGGGTACTGTTTGCATCTCAAAATTAACTGGCGAAAGGACCTGGCAGAATGTACAGGAGCCTCAGTGCATAAGAACATCGAGATCCAGGTGTTGAGGTGGTGGACGAATAGTATTCAGAACAATACGATACTATCGCGGCCTCATTCCCAGGATGGGAAACTGTCGGCGGTGTCTCAGGTAAAAGTCCCCTCCCAGAAATTGTACACTCTAACCTGCAAACATTAGGGACAAAAACCGAAACGGCGCAAGTCAACAACTGAAGCCCACGCTACCACTAGATCCTGCTCGAACCCTGCCCATATCTCATAACTTCAACCCGGCAAGAAATCTGAAATTTCCAGGGGTGTGGGCGGGAAGAGTAAGGGCCAAATATGAAGGAGACACGATCGCTGGTACAAGAACTTCATTCGCCTGACGTTTCGGATTCTCACTCGAATACACCCTCGGAGACAACAGCAGATGCGGGTAGTTTATGCACGAGGAACTGCAGTATTTGTAGGATGCAGTCGTCCTGCTACCGCATGTCTGTGAAAATTCACGGCTCCCCTCCTCCCCCTTCATCAGGGATTGCTGAATTCGGCGTGATGATTGTTTGATGGCCGATATCTGAGTCCTTAATCGCTACAAGCTGGTCCCGTGTGGTGGATGTTGCTGTGGTAACTGCTATACCATCTGGCCCACCGACCTTGGCACTGGGAAGTGTTCACCTGTGCGCTCCACGCGCGGCTAATCAGGCCAGGTCTCAGCATCTAATATTGAAGAGGAAGGTCATTGCACTTGGGGTCAGCGAACCACGGCTCAAGCAACTCGGAGCTCACGAGACTGTCGCCTCTAGCGAGAATTTCGGTCTGGCCGAATCTGAAATTGTGGTCGGATCCCCTCGAATGATCAGTAACTTGAAAGCTGGCGTCATTTCTCCGCACTGTTTGCGTATGCACCGGTTGACGAAGTTAAGCGGGTAGCAATTGGCGACTGCATCCCATAAATACTTCAATCCCCTATATCTTTATAAGGACACGGTGGCTGAAACAAGAGCCTTATTCGCCTGACGTTTCGGATTCGCGCTCGAACCCATCCTCAGAGACAGTGACCCGTGTCTATCACTGTCTCTGATGATGGGTTCGAGCAGGAATCCGAAACTTCAAGCGAATAGAGCTCTTGTTTCGGCGGTCGTGTCTTCTTCCTCACGACTGCTTCCTGGGACTCATTCCATCACTTCTGCTGGCAAGGGCTAAGTGTTTTGCACCCCCCCCGCAGACTTCTTTTTAAGACAGGAGACAGAGAGGGGACTTTTATGTGCAAACCTATGTACACAGGCGGACTGACTGGAGTGGAGGGGGGGGGGGGGCTCGGCAGGAGTGGTCTGACCAGCACTCCTTTCACTCCTCGAAGACGACGCGTTTGCCAGAGGCCGGAGTCAAAGTTATCGCGGCTGCCTGCTTCTTCTGTTCCCGTTTGGCCACCCAGGAGGGATGAAGACCAGCCGTGTCCGCGTCGGATTGGCTCTTGCGCGAGTAGTTGACGCCGCCGCCGCCGCCGCCGCGACCCCCACGAGGTCTACGCGTGCTCCCCCAGCCTCGTCTGTCCGAGCCGCCGCGGCCACCTCGCTGCCAGGCGCCTCGGCCGGGCAGCGTCTTCCCACCTTCGCGGGTCTTTTTCGCTCGAATCTATAGAAGAAGACGAAGGAAATAGTGCATGAGGGAACAGAGATGGGACCACGCGGACACAATGGAGTCGGCGATAAGGCTCACAGCGCGTCGACAGAAATTCCTCAATATACAATCCAGAGTTGCGAAAATTCTTATTGTAAAATTCAAATGGCAATTTGGCAAGCAGACGTCTGTTTTCGATAAATTCTCTTCAGGTCTGTACATTTATATGGCTATTGAAGTAATGAATGCAAAAGATACGGGCAAGTAGATAATTAAGCTGTAGCTCGGGTTTGGGGAGGGGAGGAGGATAGTGAAACACCAAAATTTCAGTCAGCGCCAGGGAGAGGGTGGGTCCCCGGTAGCTGGCTTGGTGGCTTTGAGCCATGGCAACTGTGGGACCTGTATGAAGTTCTTCAGTGCGCATAGGACTGGTCTGCGTAGCCTGATTGCAGCCGCCTCTGCCGTAGCCAACAAGCGCTGTCCAAGCAGTTTTGTATAGTTCGATGGGACCTTGTAAATCACTCTAAAGGCCTCGCTGGCATCTACCAAAGTGTTAAGGAAAGCGACAAATACGGCGCGAATACGGAACTTCGACAGCAACCAACCAATCATCCACAAGCACAGTTTTGTAAACGTGCTATACCAGCGTGTTGAGATGCATTGGAGTGAATCGGAAGACAAGGTTGGTTACTAGCACTATCATCGACGAGTTCTCGGAGCGAATGGTTAGCCGCGCAACTTCTCCAACCACTGTATGCGGAAACGAGACGAAATATCCAATCCAACCGGCCTCAAGTGCTGGCGAGCGCTCTCGTACATGAAGAACGTCTCGGACGCCGTCAGCTACCTGCCTGCAGCCGCCTCTGCCGTAGCCAGAAAGCGCTGCCCAAGTAATTTTGGATAGCTTGACGGGACCTTGTAAATCACTCTAAAGGCCTCTCTGTGGTCTGTGTCTGTCATGTGCGCGAGGATCGAGCTGTTGGTGTTCTTTATTTAACCCTTTCCTAACCATGTGGGGACATGTCCTTTTATAGGCAGAATGGCATTACCGACAAAGACAAGGGAGACTGGAATGGCCATTTCTGGCTTACTAGCCGTCGTCAGCCAGCCATACCCAAGCCCGAAGTGTGGAACACCCGAGCCTCGAACTCGCGACCTGTTGATTTAGAAGTCCACGCCTCTACCCACCGGGCCACGAGCCCGTTGCCCTGTCGGTTTTCGATCGGGAATATACAGTGGTAGGGGGCGCTCACCGATCGTTCATACGGAACTCACTCGTTCCGTCGTGTCTTAAGGGCTCTCTCTCGAGCCCAACCAGCAGCCGCACAGCGGCGCATAATACATAGGCAGAATGGCAACGGGCTCGTGGCCCGGTGGGCAGAGGCGTGGACTTCTAAACCAACAGGTCGCGAGTTCGAGGCTCGGGTGTTCCACACTTCGGGCTTGGGTATGACTGGCTGACGACGGCTAATAAGCCAGAAATGGCCATCCCAGTCTCCCTTGTCTTTGTCGGTAATACTATTCTGCCTATATATCATGCGCCGCTGTGCGGCTACTGGTTGGGCTCGAGAGAGAGAGCCCTTAAGGCACGACGGAACGAGTGAGTTCCGTATGAAAGATCGGTGAGCGCCCCTCTACCATGTTCTTTTATTCTTTTGGATAAACGCCGGCTCGTGCGACCAATATATTCTGCCCCACAGGAGCAGGTGGAGGAGTAAATACACATAGAGGTGGTCTGAGTTGGTAGTTTGTCCTTGCCCTTTCCGTATAGGATGGGACTGGTGGAGCACTGTACACAGAAATGTACAGGCCTGAAGAGAATTTATCGAAAGCAGACATATGCTCGCCAAATTACCTTTTGAATTTTACAATAAGAAAATGCGGTAGGGATCATTTACGATGTCCGGGTCCCCAGTATAAGTGCAATGTGGGAATTGAAAGTAAGGTAAGCCCAAGGAGGATGCTGAAATAGTTGGTGGGAAAGGAGCCGAGGATAAAAACGTAAAAGGGCAACCTGACGTTTCGGTCTAGAGGTACGGTGAGTTTTAGGGTTTGGGTTAGTGTCAAGCTGAGAATTGAGTTTGGGGTTAGAGTTCGTGTTAATTTTAAGGCTTCCGGTTTGAGTTAAGGTTTGGATTGCGGTTTAGGTTTGCGTTTAGTATTAAGGTTGAGGCTAGGGTTAGTGTTAGGATTTGAGTTAGGTTTAGGGTTAGCGTTGAGTCCATAACTACGTTAAGGATTAGATTTACTTTTAGGGTTATGGCAAGGTAAACCGTCAGCTTTGGGGTATTGCTATCCCGCGTGTCCCTTCAGCCAGGTCTTTTACGGGGATTCTACGCTTCCTTCAATCTCGCGGCAGATTTGTCATACGTCAGGTTGCTTTTTCCGTTACAACCTCGGCTACTTTCCCCACTGACGATTTCAGCATCCCGCTTTGGCTTACTTCACCTTCGATGCCCACATTCTGCTTACACTTGGGACCAGGGCAGCGTAACCGACCCTTGCCAAAAATGGACACTACTTAAATTAGCCATTTCTGTAGGATCTGGTCTTTGCAGGTGGCCAGAAAGAAACTCGTTCAAAAGCCGACATCTTGACCTGTGTGAAATGTCTTCGAATTGTGCTGCACACTAATTAGTATTACAACCCTGCTTAGGCAATCTTTTCGAATTAAAAGCATATTTTGGAAGTTGGGTTACCATTTCATGAGACTGCACATCTGCTGTAGTCCTCTTCGGGAAATTCAAAAGGTGTCCTCCATATCTGCTGTTCTACTGGGCAGGGCTTCAGGAAGTCGTACGCATTCGAAGCAAAGACCGATAATTGAGTAAATAAAAAACCTACATGCCATAAAACATGCTCCAAAACTTAATCAAACCCGATGTATAACGCATTCACGACCAGTTAGAAGTTCGGTAATAAATAAAGTATGCGCGCGACCAGAATTCTGAATGGTTGCATGGATCGTCCATTCCTCAAAAATATGCAATTGCCTGTTGGGGTTGTGACCGGAGCTCCAAGGTAAATTGGAGACCAAGTCGGTGAGCTTCACGCACATGTAGAGTCAGGTCTTTTGTGGGGATTCTAGGCTTCCCTCGATCTCGCGACAGATATGTCATAGTTCAGCGAATATTCCCATGTTACAATTGAAAAGTCAATTTGGCAAACACGTGTTTTCGGTAAGTCTTCATCAGGCCAAAAGGGTTACATAGAAATTTAAATTATGCGAAGTTACAGGGCTTACAAGCGATTCAGGGAATTTTAACATTCATCGTTCCCGCGCCACTCATCGTTCCCACGCCACTCGCATGGCGAGGCGTGCTATGGCGTGGTCGGCGTGTCGTGGTCATTGGGCCAAGGGGGAGGGGGGACAGAGGCTGTGAGTGATGCTTGTACGTCGGGTACGTTGTGCACACACCACTACCATCAGGAGGTCGGCTTCGGCATTGACCACGGAAGACAGAGCGCCTGTGTCAGAGTCTTCTGACAGCATAGCACTGGATTGGCCACTGCTGTAACTAGCACCCGTTGGTGTAGGCCTCTGGAGAAGCTTGCTGGTGTCCGAAAGACAACCTGAAAGGCTTCTTCGGCATCGACTCGGTGATTCGTATCGACAAGATGTGCGAGGATAGAACTCGAGATCAATTTCTTTTCACCTCTGCCTAGCCAGGCCGGTATGTGTTCACGTACTCTCTTTTCATATGTCATAAATCAGATTGCCTTTTCCGTTCCAACCTCGGCTACTTTCCCCACTGACGATTTGGGCATCCCCCTTTGGCTTACTTTACTTCCAGAGTCTACATTCCGCTTGCACCGACCCTTGCCGAAAATACTACTTAGGTGGGGGAGAGCGGACGGGCAAAGGGCTGCAATACGGATAACCGCGGAAATTTGCTCAAGCTAGTTTGAACGCTATGATGTACTAGTCCTCTATCGACGATGTTCCCGGCTGACCTTAATGACCATAGTTGGAAAGGTGTTAGTACCTAAATGGCAGAGTTGACTCCGACTATTTCGGTCAGCTGCTCACCGTGGCCAAGTAGCAGAAAACAGAGACAGATCATGCGTGGTATCGCTGGCCTTCTTCAGTTATCTGCCTTGAAGGGCCAGTCATCCTCCCGAATTGGAAGCCAGAGAGACATGACCGAGAGGTCATTCAAGGGGTCTACCAAGGTGTGGAACCAGCGTAGAGGACACTAGACTAAGGACGCATGCCAACGGGACACCAACGATATTAATGACTTGTCAGTCGGCGACGCTCAAACAGGGCAGGACAGAGGACACTCGCTGGGGGGGGGGGGGGGGGGGGGGAGAGCGTAACAGCTTTGGCATCAACCGATTATCTAGTGTTCGCTGATTGGCCCAAGTTGGTGTTGTTGAACTGGTCACAGATTCACGCCACCTGCCCGCAAACAGTCGAAGTGCCAAGGCAGCCACTGAACTGGTGACGTGGGCCTACAGCGACAACCAAATAACAATTCAGTAAAACCCAACGCCAGTCAATGGCGAAGGAGGCGGGGATATGGCAACAAGACTAGCCTTGAAGGAAACACGCAGTGCTTAAAGTACGCCAGGGAACATTCCACAAAAACGGAAACTAGAAGGCACAGAGTCAGACACTGAGGAAGTCCCTAGCCAGTGTAAACAGGGACGGTTAGCTCAGTTACACAATCGGACCCAGTGTGTAACCCACTGTCCGCCTTCCCGGCCATCAGGTAACAGTAAAGATAACAAGCCAACAAGTGTACGATGTACAGGCGGATTGTTAACCGAAAATTGCCCCTGCGGTTCATGAGCATATTACCTTTCGGGTAACTAATAGGAACATGGTGATGATGCCATCTTTCGGAATGGAGAGCACCCATTGCTACTAGATCTTATAATCCACGAACAGAGTCAAGGAGGCGTCGTTTCTGGGTCCAACCACAACCGACAGAGTGCACTCCAATGACTCAGCTCGTACGAGGTTGGTAGCTCGACCGTCGATTCAGACAATGTCCACGTTGTGCCCCACAGCAGGTAAGTAGTGAATGTAGGCTTGCACTGGATCTATCACCCTCTCCCCTCCAATCTGGACCCCGTGTCATGACAGAGTCAAGAAAACTGGAGGTTGTCAAGTGAGGGAGTTATCCCCTCAGTTGACAACCTTCTAAGCCACGGCCTCCAGCGCATCGTGATAGTCTCAAGCGCGTCAGATTGTTCATTGTGGGGAAAATGCGCTGACAGTCGACCTCATTTTCACCCTTCCCCCGCGCATCATCCGGACGGTAAGCTCCATGATCAATAAAGAAGAAACGGAGTTCAAATCTGAGGTTTTACAGAGCGCAGATTGGAGAACGGCTGGTTGACGGTTGAAGGTGCGTCAAAAGTGCCTATCCCAGTGTCCAGTGGTGGTAAAAGACTTCACCATTATGGACTTCCGTCCGCCTACGTGTGGTCGAAAGCGGCTCCGCGAAGCAAAGTGGAATTGCTCGTACTTACAAGTAGGCCTGATGGGTGATTGTGTCATGCCCACACGACAAATAGCGGCATTTGACAGTAGATAGTTTGACCGTCGGCGCCGACCATGTCCACCGCGTGTTTCACAGCAGGGTGAGAGCAGGAACGGTGGCTTACGCGTGAATTAGCATATATTGATAGTAGACCTACGAAACACCTACCACACTCTCTTCTCCCCCCCCCCGTCTGGAACCGGTGTCAAGAGAGAGGAAAGAATACCGGAGGCGAGAGAGGACGCAAACAGTTAGCACGGCGTGAATCCGCACCTAGGAGTATCACCACACCCTCCAGTCCACAATACACACTGACGAGGAGCTTATACACCAGGAAAATGGGGGAGGAGGGCGGCGCGGATCCCACTTGGCGTGACATGAACCGGCAACTGGGCGTGCCACCAGACCCCGAATGCTGGCATTTGTTATGGGTGCGCATTTTCGAGAACGTCTTCCGGACTTCGATCTACCTTCCCCCTCTCCCGTGTTGGTCCTGCATATTTCCCGCGTGGCCCGTTTGAGAGGCGGCCGCACACATACTGAAATTGGACTAATACAGAGATTAGCATGGCCCCTCCGCGCAAGGATAACACGCAGCATCGTGAAGCGTTCAATCGGCATTTACGGCATCACAGACACACCCACGAGGCGTGCTGCAGAAACTGCCAACCATTCAACGCGCAGCCGCAACACGGAGACGCCCGGTTTTGTCGCCAGCCGGCGCACTCGCTCGCTCGCTCGCTGTGTCAGTAAGCCCGCCTGTGGCGCGAGCCAAATGGGCGTGAAGCACAGCTCCAGGTAGTGTGGCCCGTGCTGCAGCGACGACGCCTTCAGCAAAACATAGCGGTTGCAATCGATCGTCCCTCTCTCTCTGCGCATAAACATGACAGCATAAGCAGCAGCAGCTAAAACGGATTGACCTCTGGAAGTCCTTGACCGTCCCACAGCGCGCATGCGACCCAGATACGTCTGAGGAAAAGGAACTGCTCACCGGATCGAAAGACTTATCCGGCTGACGTTTCGAAGAGCTTGGGCGGCTCTCCATTATCAAAGCGTCTAGTGCAAAAATCGATCGGAATTTTGAATAGACAGTCGAATTAGTTGGCCTTGGGCTGATCGATATTTTTCTTCTTTCGCTGCCTTAGCCTACTGGCCATCGTCTGTGAGTGTTGGTGGCCTCCTGTATTGCGTGTCGTCACCTCAGTTGGTGCCAGTTGTGTTTGCGTCCCCCTTTTGGGTGAATTGGTCGACAGGCCGTGGTTGCTCGGTATTCTTAGGCTCCGTATGACTGTCTTGTCTTCGTCACGGCTGAAGTGATCCTTCAAGGGATAAAACACTTGGTGTTCACCAAGTATCAACCAAAGTTCTGGGCTCGTTACGTCGATGACACCATCGCCATTGTCAAATCATCTGACGTGGAGCACCTCAATGAATTACTGAACTCGGTTGACCCGAATATCCAATTCCTGATGGAAGCCGAAACAAACAACCGACTTCCCTTCCTCGATGTCCTTGTGCGTCGGTGTGCAACTGGGCAAATACAAATTACCGTTTTCAGAAAAGCCACCAACACAAGACAAATACTACACTTTAACAGCAATCACCCCTCTCTCACAAACGCAGCTGTGTCTGTACTCTATTCCAAAGAGTTGAAACACACTGCCGCACACCAGCCGACAAACGAATTGAACGACAATACCTTTATGACCTCTTTCAAACCAATGGATACCCAAGCTACTTCATCAAGCAAAGCAAGCGCCGAGTTAACAGACGAAGGCCACAAGAAGAACAACCCGAAGTCTGGAGGACTATACCTAACATCAAAGGAGTCTCCGAGGCGGTTTAACGACTGTTACAATCCGCCAGGGTAGGCATTGCCCATCGACCCCAGGCAACAATTTGCCGTCGTTTGAGGCAACTCAAAGACATACTGTCACCCACTGAAACCTCAGCAGTTGTCCATCCAATACGTTGTAACGATGGAGACTGTAACTAGGTTGGAAAAACCGGACGGAAATTGCAGACCCGCCTACATGAGCACAAACTGGCAACTCGGAGACTAGACCCAAACTCACAGCTTGCGGCTAACGTCGGGGAAACTGGTTACAGCTTTGATTTTCAAGGAGCAGCCGTCGTAGGCAGGGGCACCTAAAGGACAGAACGTCTCACACTTGGGGCTTCGTACTCAGATGCCAACTCCATTAGGCATCTAGACCTTCCTTCGGCCTATAAAGTCCTACGTCACTACATACGCCGTGACGAAGACAAGACAGTCATACGGAGCCTAAGAATACCGAGCAAACACGGCCTGTCGACCAATTCTCTCAAAAGGGGGACGCAAACACAACTAGCCCCAACTGAGGTGACGACACGCAATACAGGAGGCCACCAACACTCACAGGCGACGGCCAGTAGGCTAGGGCAGCGAAAGAAGAAAAATATCGATCAGCCCAAGGCCAACAAATTCGGCTGTCTATTCAAAATTCCGATCAATTTTTTTCACTGGACGCTTTGATAATGGAGAGCCGCCCAAGCTCTTCGAAACGTCAGCCAAACAAGCCCCTCGATCCGGTATGCACCTCCTTTTCCTCAAATTATCGACCCGGATCTCTTACTTTTGCTAACCTGAGCCCAGATACGTCTACCAGGTTGGACCGCGCACTGTACAGATCACTACTCCAAATACGGGGGCCCAACGAGAGCTGATTGGAAATTTCTGAAGTTTTACTGACCGTCTTGGCGGTGACACCCCTACCCCCCCTCCTAGGACGCTGAGAACTTGAGAACATATGCTTTTTGGAATTAAAAGAGGAGGAGAGTCACTCCGTCTGGCTAGACTCTACGAGACCACCATCTGCCTCCGAACTACCCTGATGTATAACCAGCGAAAGATCACTGCCAGCACTCAATACGCCTGCGATAATGCCTGATTTGGCAGGCCTCGACGATGTCGCGGATTGCATTGCTCCAAGAATGACGACCTGCGGCAGCGTATCAGGGAAGGAGGACCACTCAAACCCATCATCTGAGACGGCTGCAGATAAAAGTATTGGGGGCACAAAGACTGCAGTATCCATAGTAAGTAGCTGCCGTGGAGCCAAATGCGCACTATAATAAACAGCTATCATGAGCACCGCTGGGGGTCGTAATTGAAGGGCGCATGGCTCGTCCGTCCGGGTCCGCGTCGTTGATTGTCACCATGTCGATACAAGCGAAGATGCGAGTTTCAGGAACTAGTTGATAAGAAGAAGAAGCGATCACTGGAACAGGGGCCTTATTCACCTGACGTTTCGGATTATCACTTGGACCTATCATCAGAGGCAGTCACAGAAACGGTCAGAAACCTGTTTCTGCCACTGTCTCTGATGGTAGGTTCAAGTGAGAATCCGAAATGCCGCAATGTCATCATTCGTGTTGGACGTTAGCGTGATTATGACTCGGCAACTTTGTCAACCAATGAGCATGCAGACGAAACAAGAAACCAAGCCCAACCGGTCCTAAATTTTGACGAGCTCTTCCGTACGTGAGAAACGTCTCAGGAACCGTCAGCCGCCTTCTCGCTCCACTCGGAGTTGGGGTTGCACGCAGGCCGGAAGCAACCATCAGGCGCCAAGTCATGAGGCCAAAAGGCCCGCTGCCATGGTGGGAAACGTCTGGAGTCGTTTACTGGGTCTGGCACAGTTGTGGACAGGGCAACTACGTCGGAGAGACTGGGAGGCTATTCTGGACACGGATGGCTGAGCACACAGCAGTGGTAAGGAGGAAAGACGCTAGCTCTCAGGTGGCGGCTCATCCCATGGAACTCGGCCATATTTTTAAGTTTCGAGAGGTCGAAGACCTTACACTCGAGACACCTTTTTGAGCAGCCTCGCTGTTGTATTGACAATTTCTTCCTGCGAAGGAGGGTTAAGCGCCACGGAATTGGCTGGAGAGGAATACAACTCTGTTGCGAAGGAGGGCAGGCGGTGATGACTTGGTCAACGAAATTGAGAAGTTACTCGAAGTGGTCCCGTCAACTATAAACCTTGGTCGAGTTGTCGACAACAAGGTCGTTACTCGCAGTGGAATCAGATACTTAGTGCGGAGGGACTACTACTAATTTGGCGAATATTTCGGTGGAATTTTTGAGTGTCGCTGACGTCTAGACCCTGGCCTGCGGAGGTCGCTATTTTGGTCCATCTCTAACCGACTTTGCTGCCATTTTCCGGGGTAGGCGGAAGGAATTATCCTTGAGGGCCGTCTGGGCATACAACTACAGGGTTCGTCTACTGATCCAGCCATTGCGAGGTCGCTAACTGGATCCGACGATTCTCCCATCTGCCTCGTGGACTGAGGACTTGAATTATGACCATGTGTTACTGCATCCTCATATTTAGATACAAAAATAGATCAAAGTTCTGCTCTCAGCGACTCAGCTATGCCGATTTGCCGTAATTTTACAACATTAAGGTGGACTGCACGTGATAAGAGGTGGACTTTCAGGCGTGCCGAATGAGAGCATAGTTTGACCCAGAGGTGTTGTAAATTGCGGCGCCACGCATCGGTCTGTTGACGCGAAACCAGCTACCTTGAACCTCGGACTGAACAAAGCGTTGTAAATCACACCGGCAGCATGGCGGTATTTTGAATACGAGATCAGCAGATATTTGCGGCGAGGCCAGATGCACGTGCTGATGGCGGTTCGACCGCTCTGGTCAGCGAAGGTCAACACTCGCCATCGTTGCATCGGCAGTCAAGCCTAAGGCGGCTAGTAAGGCGACTGTTTCAATGATCACCTGACCAAATCCGATCATTCCAGTCTCCGACAACAATCAGCGGGCCACGGCGGGGGGGTCTTTAAAGCAAGTCTTGCAGCTGCGAGCAAATGACTTCTTGACGTGTACACGAAGACGAAATAAATGTTGGTTAAGTGCAATTTCAGCAGGATGTAAGCCAGCCCGTCATCGGTCAGGTCTCGCGGAAGCGCTTCCTTAACGCCGATGATGCTATTCGCACATTCCAGCCCCGATATGTGATTGGGATCAGCCGTGCTGCGGCACGCCTAGACGGGAGCTTTGTGTCTAATAATTTTTCGTCAGTATTCTCGACCAAATTTTGTCAGCCAGTGAATCACGATGCATGTCGACGGTGTAAGTCCTTCTTCCCCTCCCCCCCCCTCCCCACCCAAATCCATTTCGAGGGCAAGCCACCACTGTTTTCACGTCAACTGCGATCATCGTTGTGTTCAACGGACAAATTTTCAGGGAAGCGTAAAGGGCAAGATCAAACGCAACTGGAAGTGTGGGAAAATTAAACATTGTGCGGATACGAATCAACCGATATCGGCTTCTAAATATGATTCGGTTATCTCCGCCTGACGGTCACGCCCCTCAGTAGAAAGGGCCCACCTAACACTTGGGGATCTCCGGGAATGCTGCAGTTTGGTGAGGGCACTGTGCTTGCAAAAACAGGTAAGAACGGAGAGGTCTAGGCATGAGGATCTCCAAACCAGCTCCAATCACCTGATTCAAATCAAGTCAAAAGGATGGAGTGTACCGGTCAGAGTCGTCCGCGGTCGGAAGGTCACCCGTGCAGGGCAAGCATAAATGTGTAAACTGCGAGCCGGCACGCATGAATAGCTTTATATGTTGTTAGGGAAGGGCCAATCAGACACCGAAGGGGAGCTTTAAGCATTGGTTAAGGATGAACCAATCCGAGAGTCAGATTGATCATCACTCGAGTGTGCAGCACGGGTATGACTAAGTATCTTCCTCAAGGTCAGGCGGGCTGTGTTGTTGTCTGGGCAGCGGAGAAGGTTAGGTCAATTTGACGGCAGAGCTCACTGGTTATGAGGAAACTCGAGACGTTCAAGGGCGAACTGCGACATGTGATAAGGAAGTTCATACGCAGAAAAACGATCTCGAGGTACAATCCGTATGACTGAAAATGTTGTGCTCTGGGGCAGCTTAATTGGACGTGGAAACGACAGTGTACAAGGTATGATTCTTCGACCTGTTAAATGAGGTTTTGGCACAAAATATCAAGCATGTTATACTGCGGAATGCAAGAACTTACATCGTCGCCAAGATTGACGGCTACTACTATCGCCCATGCCAAAAACGCCGGGGAATTAGGGACAACTGATCGTCTGCGTGAACATGTTACCCATTTTTAAGTCGAAAAAAAAACCTGGAAATGGGAACGCACATGACGATACCACATCCAGAGCAAGAATAAGAGATAGGGGATCGGGAAACAGACCTCATTCTTCAGTTCCACATCATCTGCACCGAAGAGGGCCTCGTCCTCATCGTCCAGGATGGGCGCAGATTGGGGCTCTGTGGCGTCAATGACCTCGGAGAAGAAAGAGTCTGCGGGAGCCTGTGTGGAAGAAGAAGGACACGTTTTTTAAGCCAGCACCATGAAAAAAATTGAGAGGAAGCAGTCCTGGCCGAAAACATTTACAGTAGATTTGCTATCTCATTAAATGTCGACCGAAATTCTGAAATGAGTTTTTGATTAGGAAGGATTGCTTAAGTGGGCTTTTAAGGCCAATCGCCATGAAGCATATTTCAGTCACGTCAGGATGTCAGTCTGTGAATAAAATTAGTTTCGGCCTACTGCAGAATGCACACTTAGTGGCCACATAAGTAGTATGATTTTTCTCATACGATTTTCGAAGTCTTTATAAACTCTGATATATTCTAAGGAAAATATGGACAAAAGGCTTTCTTCAACTCATTCGATGGCAAATTATGTCTTCTGTAAACTCTATACTTGAATACAGGGCATGTTTCGGTATAAAAAATTTCTTCGACCCCCGAACAATTTTGAACTTGACCTGCCGTTACAATCGAATTCATAGTTTCGAAACTACAAGTCATATACCTTTCGTGTGGGTAAAAGTCGTATATGGCTTATAAAACTTTGTAATGGATGTAGAGCATGTCGCCTACTTTAGAAGCGGCATTAATAAATGGACAGATGCGACGCTTTACCAACGGACATTTCACGATCCTAAAAGGCATTCTGTTTTCAAGCATAAAATTTAAAGACGTAATTTGTTACCAAACAAATACCAGAAAGAATATTTTTGTACATACTTTATGTAAAAATATTTGAATTTGTATGAGCCCTAGGGATAGACTTAGAAACTTCATACTACTTAAGTAATCACCTTTTACAAAGTGCACTTCTTGCAAGCGACCGAAAGGAAGCCCATTCAAAAGCACGCATCCTGGCATGACTAAAATATTTTGGGATTATGCTGCAGGGTTATGAACATTACAATCCTACTTAAGTAGTCTTCTCTAGTCGAAAACGCATTTCAGAATTTTGGTTAACATTTCATAAGATGGCAGGGTACTTTTTAAGTACAGACATAACGTCTGCTGTCCTGTTTAATATTCCAGACTTTCGGATGTACCAAACCACTTGATTTGACTTACTTCGGCGCGATAAGTCAGACGAGAATGCGTAGAACGTAGCAATCAAAAAGGTTATTTCGAAGAAAAACGAGAAATTCTGCGTTCTCGAGTCGATTGACGCCTTCCCGAAAACGTTGCATTGAGGAGCGACTATTTTGATGAGGAAAGTAGCTTGTTGAGTCTTCTATTTAATTATCCTTCGATATCCATCACGAAACAGTTTTTGACAAACATCTATTCTGCAAGTTAAGCACAAGATTGATCTCAGGGTGTGCGGGTGGACTCTGGTATAACGACAGTTTTACTAATATGGTCGCAAGTCACTATCGAACACAAATTATCGCAACCAGAACAGTCATGCCCGGCCCATGGTTCTTTGCGAATGCAAGCAATCTCAGAAACTACGCAAGAACCATTCGTAAGCCGAACTTCCAGCAGTTGCACCGTGCAACTGCCGAATATTGGCGAAACATGCAAACTTGCTTTGAACTAATAGCGGTCCTGGGAGTGCGGTGAAAATAAAAACTGTAAAAATGTGCCTATTTACTAATAGTCAGTAGTACATCATTAAAGATAATAATTTGGGTGGGTTAGGAGACGAGTACTGACTTGCCGAGTTGACTCGTTGATTTTTGCCACTTTGGTGGAACCAGCTGCCTCCACAACAGCGGCCTTCTTGACCCCCTTGGTTGGGACTGTCATATCAGTCTTGGTAGAGGATTCTTTTTGTATCTTCGCCTTCTTCGGTGGCCTCTCCGCGCGAGGGGGGCGATCATCCGGCGGCGTCGAGGGCTGCGGCAGTTTTTTCGGCTTCTCTTTCTTGCTTTTATTTTTCCTTGCCTTTCCTGCCTCTTCAAATTCCGTCTTTTCCTCAGACCGGCTAGATGGAAGGACAGCGGGCCTACGAGCGATGAGATTGGCCACAATTTCTGACGCAGCATCGCTGTCGGCATCCATCGCCTCTGCTGTCTGAGGATATGGTGGGGGCAGTGGGGCAAATTCAGCCTCCTCGTCAGCAATCAACTTCTGCTGCTCTTCAAGCAGGCGTCTGTCGTGGGCCTCTTTGAATGCTGCGAATCTGGGTGATAAAGTGTAATCAGGTTTTATGTAGTGGGAAAAACTGCAAACTTTATTTTGTTCAGCGGCCAAGAAAAAGGGACTTGCAGGGAGTCGCGTAGTAACTAACTGTTGTATCCAGCTGGTCAGCGCTTAGGATTCTCCACGCCCTCCACGCAAGTGCTTCCACATTTAGCCCCTGCTGACATCCCCCTTTCCACTTTTTGTAACCCTCTTCAGGGCGTGATCGGCGTTCTTTTAATTAACTAGTTTTTGTATTCTGACCTTGAGCTGGGAATTCGATTTGCTCGAACAGTAACAAAGGAATTATTTGTCTAGGGTATCCATTGTTGAAATTTGTACGTTTTTTATTATTACCTTATTCTATCAATAGTACCGTATATACACCGAAATCTGTTTTGGCTTATACGCGTGACTCAATTTACCAAGAATTCTACACTAGCAATCGATGATGGAAAGCCAAGAGCAAGGACTGAAGATATAAGCCCAATAAGAAAAAAGGAGCACAGGGACTCCTGTAATACGGGAAGAATAGTAATATTTTTTTTCCGTAGGGTGGGTAGACGCAGCAATTAACGGAATCTTAGGAAGGTATTGAAAAGGCTCACATTTCTGTAATATGTTTATTTTATTGTTCCCTCGAGGTGCCGGAACACACCGAAGAATTTTAAAAATACGATATAAGAGCACGAAAACGGACGGAAAACAGGTAATTCAAGGTCATCGGCTAAAGAAGGCCGGACTAGGTATGATTTAACGCGACAAGCAAACTGAACTCTAACGCCAACACTAGCCCAAATATTTCATCGAAATCTAACTCTAAATCCTAGCCCTGACAGTGAAATCCGGACTCCAAAACTAAATCCTAATCCTAGCCCCTAAACGACTGGCCACGGGTAATCTCTAGAGTAGCATGCCTACCTAAGTCAAATAAGTAGGTATGTCGTGGTAATACAAACTTGAGTTTACCAAGTCCAGATCTGTAGAACGCATGGAGACTGAGATGCCATTTTTGGTGCATCACATTTTGATCTATACCGTAGGAAACGCTATCCCAACAATATCTGATGACAGGCGCTTGTGTGTACGACATGCAAGGCCAAGGAAACATGGGTCTCCTTCGCATTTCCCCAAGGGTGAGGGAATTTTAGCTTCTGATGGTAATGCTAAGGAACCGTCAAGGCGACTTTTTGGCGTGTTATCCGTCGTCAGCTGCATCCCAGATCAGAACAACCGGAAAGTTTGCCCCTCATAGTCGCTTATAGGTATACCAAAGTGTAACATTAAGCTCGTGTGGTTGACTCCTACCGAGAAAACTTTCAGGACATGGAAAATGACGGTTGTGTCAGGTGAAACCTACCTCCTAGCCTAGAAAGGCGCCTAGATAACAGCAGTAATATGATCTCGGACGTCGGAACGGATTTGCTGTTTTGAGGGTTCGGCAATTAAGTCGGCCGGTAGACAATAATTGAGTGGGACCTTTTCATCTTTTCGCTTGTAAGTTCGAATGGCATAACAGAATTCTCTGTCCCGAGTTGCCATATTTCTCTCTTGAACACGTAGGCAGTCTTTTGAGGTCCCTGGACTTGGGTCGAACCGAGGACAGACAGGGTCGCAAGATCGCAACAGGAACATGGTAAACTACAGCCAACTTGTACCGTAGATTAAAGAGATACCTTTGGCACGCAGAACGCTTCTGCGAGGGATTTTGGATAATCAATCAAGGGGTCAATGGTGCGCTGAGAATGTCACGACCCGACCTGATACTCAATAATGACACGAACTGGATGCGTGCTTGATTATTGTCTCCAACCACCCACACCACAGAAGAACAATACACGCCCGACCACGACAACATGTACTGCTATCCACAAGTCGTTCACGCTGAAAAACTGTGTTTGTAACAGTCCGATCGCTTTAAAACGAAAGGACTGGAGGGGCGGAACAACTTCTCGCAGGCATGACCAATCAGATTTTAAGGGAGAACTGTAACTCCAGCCAATAGCGAGACGTTATCGAGAGCGTGGTGCAGGTGGCACGCAGCCCATAGACGCGCACGCACCTCCCAGTGACATCGACTGGCTCCTTCTGGGAGTATAGACGGACTTTTTTCTAATTCTAAGTAACCTCAAAGTGGGTTTCACTGGTGTGTGACCTTAGGTATGCTCGGTCGCAACCGACAAGGCATGAGGCTGTGGCTGAAAGGTTGAGAACTTGGGTTAGTGACCACACAGTCTGGGTTTGTGGTCTTCTTGGTCACTCTAGCCTCCCTTCTCCAACGCAAATGATAACGTGCAGCGCCCACCGACAAATGTCAGAGAAAGCCAGTCGCACAATACCACGGTCGCCTCGCAACCCCCAAAAATTGAGTAAGTCCTTTTCTTAGCAAAAGTCGGGACAAGATCTTACTACCCGGAGGACTACAGTCGGGCGGTCATGTGGTGGTTTAACTGGCGAAATGTGTCGGTGCGATGGATCATCTTACACGATCTCGTGTCAGACAGCAATAAACGCCTCCAAAATGTCAAAGCCAAAAAAGGAGAAAGCGGAAAGGCGAATACGCACTTCTTGATGGTGGAGCATCCGTCCACATCCTCCACCTCCCTATCCTCACCCTCTTCGTCACTCGTCGAGGGCAACGAGGCGGGGAGGGGGAAGGGTAGGTCACCCTTGTTCTTCTTCTTTCGACGACGTTTCTGTTCACTAGTCTTCCACTTTCCAGAGGTGTTCTTGTAGAGGAGGAAGTGCACCAGGGTCGGCCAGTCGGTGTGTTGGGTGCGGAACTGGTTTACAAATGCGGCGACCTCCGGACGTGCGGCCATTCTGACGACCAGTCGATCCTGTTTATTCATGTTCTGGCCTGCCTTTTCCATCTAGAGGGGATGGGGCGAAGAGCCAGGGTCATTGCATGTCCTTAACAATACTAGAATCAACACAAAATGAGTCTGTGTCTCTGTGGTTGGTACATGGTGCTTTGATGTGCACTATCACTGCAGATGGTTGGAATCAACTCCCAGCGATAGAAGAGGCCAAAACAGGCATGGGTAAGATGTGGTTATGTGGCCCCACCCGATAGACACAATACTTTTGGGGTTGGGGTTAGGGATTAGAGTTAGGGCAACCGTTTCTCAACCACTGAAACTACAACCACGCATTCCCAATAGTTTTTCTTTTGCACACAACTACCTGACCTCGTCGTCTGTGCGTTACCCGGTGCGATCTGTAATAACCCCCTATTACCACCAGTCCCGTATTACAGGAGGCTGGGGTTTGTTTACTTCAGGTGGGGCTACACAACGACATCTGACCATTTCCCTCGATAAAATTACTTAATAACATGTTTTGTATGAGAAAAAGTGCTGCTTCCGGAACGATTTAGGCCAGCAAGTATTACGCATAACGATAAGGATGCCCCCAGGGGGAATTAAAAGGCTGCAATGTTAAAGTCGGAGTAACTACTCGAAAGCACACGCGGAAAGACGGGGCGGACCCATTGGTGAGCCGAACCCCTCGCGGTGGCAAAATATCGGCGAAACACAAGTCTGGGCCTTTAGTTAGTACCTGTGCCGTCAAGTATGCTGTGTCGTGCAACCAATGTGTATAATAATATACAGTAGATGTGCTAAATCAGGAAACGTTAACCGAAATTCTGAAATGTGTCTTAAACTAAAAAGCATTACTTAAGTAGGGTTGTAATATTAATAGCCGTGCAGAAGTATTCCAAGATACTTCAGTTATTCCAGGATGTCGGCTTTTGAAAGAACTTATTTTCGGCTGCCCTCAAAGATTATATTAGGAAAAATGACTACTTAAATGGCATGGATTTTTCTCATTGATTTTTGATGCTCCTATAAATCCAAATATATTTCATGGAAAGCATGCATTAAAAATTCAATCTAGAATGCGGAAAGGAGATAAGGCGGAGAGCCAGGGTCAGTGCGTGTCCTTAACAATACTAGAATCAACACAAAGTGAGTCTATGTCTCTGTTGTCGGTACATGGTGCTTTGATTTGCATTATCACTGCAGATGGTTGGAATCAAATCCCAGCGATAGAGGCGGCCAAAAACAGGCATGGGTAAGAGGTGGTTATGTAACCCCACCTGATGGACACAATACTGTTGGGGTTAGGTTTGGAGGTTATGATTAGGGGCTAGAGTTAGGGATTAGGGTTAAGGCAACTATTTCTCGTCCACTCAAAGTACAACCGCACATTCCCAATAACTTGTCTTTTGCATATAACTACTTGACCTCGTCGCCTGTGCGTTCCCCGGCCCCACCTGCAAAAACTATTACCACCAGTTCTGTATAAGAGGTGGCTGGGGTTTGTTTACTTCAGGTGGGGCTACATAACCACATCTGACCCAGGCGTGAATTAAAACACACATGGAAGCACAAATACAATCGTCCTCTCCCGCCCCCACCTCCAGCGAACACCGCTGCTAGTGCTACAGAAGTGCTACCCAGTTTAAGGAAATTTACAACTGCAAATGCAAAGGATAGATGGAGGAGGGAGTCGGTGACACAAAGCACGCAAGATGGTATTCACTAGCAAAAAAGGGAACTTCCAATACCCCGAAAGAAACCCTAGATGTTCAGCCCGGTAGACGAGCGCAGAACAGATGTGCAGGTTCAGGAACTCAGAAATGGGGAAGGAGCTGCGAAGTTTGATCATAAATTGGATTATAACAGGCGAAGGGACCAACGAGATAGGTTTTGATCGTTGCCAGAATTCAAATCAACCGCTGTCCTACAAGTGGCTTGATAGGGATACAGGACGATCGGATGTCTACGGTTTCCACGCTATATTTAATGGCACCGAAAAAACCAATTTCCGGCCCAGAAACAATAACAGACGACAAAAAGAGACCTTTGGCACGGAGAGTTCAGAGCGCGACCTACAGCAGGTGTGTTAACTCATGAAATGTCAACCGAAATTCTGAAATGCGTTTTCGACTAGAAAATATTACTTAACTAGACTTCCACTAACTTGCAGCGTAATTCTAAGATGTTTTAGTCAAGCCAGGATGCCGACTTTTGAATGAGCTTCTCTTCGGACGTCTTCAAAAACTACATTCAATAAAAATGACTACTTAAGTAGTGTTTACCTTTCCCAGGGACCATTTATTCCAATATTTTTATGGAAAAATTCACATTTGGTAGAAGATTGCGTATTATCCGATTTTTTGCCTTAAAACAGAATATCTGTCGGCTTCTAACAACTTTGTCAATTCCCGAATATTTTTATCCCAATTGTCGCTAAACTTGCGTTCAGGGTTTCCAAACTACAGGCTGTATACATCCCGTCAAAGTAATATCACACATTTCTCTAAGTCGTTAATAAGAGGTCATATAGTACTCATGGGACTGAGCAATTAGGGCGGACACAGTATTATACTTTGTAAGTAGTACTATTAAACCCGCCGATGAGGTGCTGTATGAATGGACATTTCACGGTCTTAAAACGTCTCACAATTAGAAACATTTTAAAATCCAAAAGGTACTCCTTATTCAAGTATGAAATTTAGCAAAGGCGCAATTTGCTACCAAACGAGTACTAGATAGACCATTTTTGTGCATGTTTTCTACAGAAGCATTTGAATTTATAAGTGGTCATACTTAAAATGCAGTTTTTGAAGACCTCCGAAGAGAAGTTCATTCAAAAGCCGGCATCCTGGCGTGGCTTAAACGTGTAAGGACTATGCCGCGAGACAATCAACAGTACAACCCTACTCAAGCAACCTTCTACGCTAAAAGACACATTTCGAAATTTTGCTCAACATTTAGTGAGATAACACAACGGGCTTGTGAAAACTGACGGAGATGGACAGAGGACTGACAAAAAGCGCAGTTCAGGACAGGCATCAATATTCAACAGTCAGGCCAGCTTCTCAATTTCCTGGAAAATGACCCCAAACTCACCTCCTCGACGGTAGAAACATTTGCTAAAAGCAGCTTGCACAGACGGATGGTATCCATCTTCTTCAGCAGACGCAGTTCTGACAATCGACCCAAAATCTTCTTTCCAATGCGTGCCTTCTTGTTGTCCGCGATGACTGACTGTTTCCGCTTCAGGCGTTTAATGTAGATGGCCAACTCGCGCAGGACGTGCAGCCGCGCCTTCCTGACGATGGGTCGGTAGGCGAGAAGGGTTGCATTGAGCTGGATGGGATCGACTGACAACTCCTCCTGTTCATCATCAATGTCATAGGTGAGGGAAATGGGCCGCACAGGCTCCTTCCTCTTGGCAGACATACGAGGGCTGAGGAAGACGTGGAAGGCAGTTAGTGCATGTAAAATGGTGGCTATGAAGACTGCATAAGGAAAGGGATGAAATGTTGGTTCTGTTACGATACAACCCTGCCTACCGATGTTGCAATCTCCTCCTGTGTGAATTCCTTTAAGTGTAGACTTGACGCGTATCAAGCTTCCCAATTACCAGCCTCACCTCCACTCACATAGCCCGGGTCCAACTTTTACATGTTTGTGCTACTTGTAATTAGTAAGTAACCGTTAATGATTACTCTTTTTCGACCGGCTGTCAGCTGTCCGCGATTATGTACAAAATTCCTTCTTCACCTTCCCACTTATCAATGTTTTCCGCCGTCGGCTTGTAACCAATAAGGAGTTCAAAGGCGCTCGCCTATATTTCCCTGGACCGCTAAACGATGTTGGCCAGGGAATTCGTAATGCATGACATTTCTTGAAAATCTGATAGAACTTCCGCATTAGGCCTTTGCGTCGGGACATTACGTTAATGTCTAGGTAGACCAGAAAGTTTGTCCGATCCAAGGGATGAGTTAGGCGTTGACCGAAGTGGCCGCGTGAGCAGAGCCATCGTCAAACAAACCAAACTTTATTTCAGTCGTAGGAGGATGCATACCAACGCCGTCCAAAGAGACCGATGAAGAAGTAAACGGGTAAAGTACAAGCAACCCGCAAAGACGACTGACAAATCTTACAAGTGGTCTAGACTACACAACACCCAAAGGTAGGAAACTCCATGCAGCTTGTGTTCGAACTCTTACGCAGGTTGGAACTCAGTCAGGATTAAGAAGGACAACCTACCTAACATTACCATTTGTAGGGCTTCAGATAAGAATTTTGTTGTTGTAGTCAAGCGATCTTTCGGGCAACAAATCAGTGTTGACTGGAGTAACGAGGCTTCGTTGCTACCGCAGGGCGTAAGGATGTTCCCCGTGATCCTAGTAACGAGGCTTTCTGCAAGACTATTTCCCCTATCCATGTCTAGGTGGAGGTAGGGATGCAACTTTGCTGCACTGAAGAAATTTGCGCAAACACCAACAAGGTACTGCAATCCCCAGGGATTGCTAACTGTTATTCGAGCCGTTAGTTAGTTCGAGAGTACTTCGTATCCACTGGGGCAGGGGTGAATTTGGAAAAGTGGCCATGGACCGTCAAACAAGGCAGATATAAAGCCCACAACCTTAAGATGATCAGAAAGCGCTAGCGAGAAGTTGAGTGAGAGACTGGTGCCAACTTGGAAAAACGGCCATGGATTGTCAATTATTATAATGCTGCAAAGAGGTCAGTTGTGGGCCTATGCGGAAAATGCAACTCCCCTTGCATTGGCTGAAGAAGTTTCAGTTATGCTCACAGTATCAGATCAGATCAGATTTATTAAGGGAAAAGTAGGCGAGCGCCTTTGAACTCCCTTTTGGTTACAATAACGTCATAAAAAAACAATGTGTGAGGCAAGTGTGAAAAAAATTAGGTAAGTAATTACATACAACAAACATTGGTCACTGGTATGAATTTGTCTGTGAATGCCTTCTATGTCAAAATTGTACAATATCCAGTATGGTAGTGAATGGACCAAGTAATATCAAAGCAAGCGCATATGTGGCGGTCAGGAGATAGCGAAAAATTGTGAAACGTAATGTTACTAAAATATAGGGAGTAGCATGCTTTGTAACATAAAACGTTGGATCGGGCGGGTGGCACAGGGGGGATTCGTTAGTTTCTGATGCTGTGGAGGTACATATCCCTGTACTGGTCAAGCTTTCTCTTAAATGAGTCCACGGATGAGAAAGCTTGACCAGTACAGGGATATGCACAACAAGCAAAAACCGATTAAACGCAGCAAGTTTGTCAGAAAGATTGCAGACGTTCACAAGGGCTCGCCAGTGGGCGTGTATTCTGCACAACGACTAATCAGCCGCAAAGGTCAAAAGCAAGCACACGCGTACAGCAATAATAACTTCAAATAAAGCTCGGATATGGTGTAATTAGCTAAAATGAAGAGTAATGAGCCTCTACACTATAAACAAAATGGTCCAGCTGAAGAGGCAGAGGAACGTTGCTACTGCAAACGGGAAATAAAAGGGCAAGCTGAATCGTCGTGAAGTGTAGCCGGCGAAACGGGTGCTAAACCTCAAGATCCAGGAGTAGGTGCTTAGCGGCGGTTGACTTGAGGCCCTGTTAGAGCTGAGTACTGTGAAAAAAGCGAAGGCGAATGTGAGTCGGGTGTGCCGGGTTGTTAATTGCGGCACTTGAATTGCGTTAGGGGTCGAATGTCAAATGTGCTCGTCGATGAGCAATCGTGGCTGCGAGGGCCGCGGTGCAACGGCGCGGTACCTGTCCGAAGAGTTTTACTGAGTTTTAGTAGCACAAGCAATTTCCTGATAGGTGGAAGGGTTCAGTGAGGGCCTCAAATGAAGTTCGCATTTGGCTATCCCTAGGGGAGGGATTACTGATGATGCGATCAAAAGACCGAGCTCGAATCGGATGTGCGGGCTAGAGCGATGTATTGAGGTGTAGGCTGGCATCCCGGTAAAAATGACTTCGAAGTATGGGTAGTGACTCAGTGGAACCAAAGGGGACAGTGAATTCGTCCTACGACCGTCAATTGCCGTCTGGGGATCACGATGATGGGCAAGGTAAAAGGTCTGAGGGGACGGGTAGAAGTACCACAATTATCGTTCCGTACACTCTCCAGTTATCAGAATTAGATGCTGTAGCAGAAATAAATGAGCGCATAAAGGAGTTCAGACCAAAGAATCTAAGTGTGCATGGCTTTATGTCATGTCGAGACTAATTTCATCCCACGTTTGAAGCATCCGACTTACATTAACACACAAACACTGTTCCTTGTTAAATACAGAGGCATCCCCTTTGTTATAAGCTCTATTTCTAGCTTAAAACGACCCACAAGGCGTCCTATTAATATTTTAAATGGTGAATATCTCGACTACGGAATAACATGCATCGTGAAAGGCAAACAAACGCAAAAACAACGATGAGCGGAAGGGCATTATTTTTTTCCGGCGTCCTCTCTATATCTGGTGAGAATTACTAGACAGCACCGTTTGCTGGCCCCAACGTTCGGCGTCAACATTTAAGACGATTCTCAACTTTCGGTCAATGCGATCCTAGATGGATACCTACTTACCAGCATTCATCCTAAGTTGGTGTGACGTTTCCACGCGTTCGTCGTTGGGGATCGTACACGAACTATGCAACGCGAGGCATGTTATGGGATGCACGACCACATGAAGAAGGTGGATGCATAATGTCGGAAGATCTCTCCCACCGATTATCGACATCCTAGCGTACGCTGATATAAACTGAACTTTCCTCGATAGGGTTCAGAGACCTCCAGCAGTTCGGCCTTCCAATTCCTCGACGACAACCGGGAAAACTCCCCGACCTGACCAAATTATGGTACTGTTCAACGTGATCTCACTGTCCACATTTATCCCACTGGTGCTGACGCGATGTTCATAGCAAAAGAATCCAGAGGAGAACGACAAAACGAGAGGGCTTCTAAAAGTACAGCACCTAATGAAACTCCCTGCATTCCCGGATATTAGTTCACATGGAAGAACGGACAACAGCCCCTCCTTGACGTTCCCGTTGTGCCGCACTAATGCGAACTAGGAGACACCTCAGGGGTCAGAGTATGGTTGCACAAGTTGACGAATTCGTATTAAGGAAGATAAACTAGCGTCACGAAAGGTAGAGACCAGCAAATGACAATCAAATGTGCCATGTCTGTGAAAAGATCACCGATATGACACTAGTCCTAGTCACTCAATGATGGACAAAGCCTGATGGGATCCTCCTTACTGGGTTTCGTCAGTACATTCGGAATCCCTCGGTGTTTCGTCCATCCAAATAGTGGTGCTACTGCTGATGACGTTGAAAACTATTACAGTGGCTTGAAGCATGGACCCCAAGCTATTCATAGATCTCACGCACGATGGGTTTGGGGTCGCTTATATAAGGCAAAGCACAAATGATGCTTGAATTTTCCACTAAGAAAGTGACTACACTTACGGTAAATGTTATGACAACGCCGACCACGGAGTGTTTTACTTCCATGTATGCGCCTGTGACAATACGAATACATTTAAACTTATAATATCAACTCAAATAAATTACATTTTGCGGCATATCTCAATCGCTGTTCCGCCTTTGACACCTAAATGTACCTTCTGGTCATCTACGCCGTACTTTTGCTTAGTTCTACTTACACACCTTTAACTTCCCTGATAATACTGCAATAGCAAATTCTCAACTAGTTGCACATCGCATTTGTCATACCAACTAAGAAATCGACGGTAGATGAAACAAATGAAATTATTTCGTATTTTGCAGTGCAGTCGTTATTTTGACATGTTTGGCAACAATGTGGAGTAATGAGTGAAGGCGACACGGCCTCTTGAGATCTAGTCAACGAATTGAAAGAGGGCAATGGACTAACGTTTGCAATGCGGTCAAACCTAGGTAAAGCGAACGAATTCTGAATCTACACGGAGAGAGAGGACGCTATAACAGAAGCATATGAAAAGATCTGAAGGGTACAATATTAAAATGTCAAATGTGTAAGACTAAAAACCCACAATGCGGAATTATTTGTGTCATCTGCCGTTACGCAGTGTTGCATGGCTTCGTTTGTGTTGTGTTGGGCATCTCAGTTACTGAATTTTCCAAAATAGTATGCATAGGCCCTCATTCGGCAATCGGATATTATGAGAATTACAGACAGCTCTGTCCCAGCATGTTGAAACCCAGTCCGAATCCTCTAGGGCCTCGGACTTGTTGTGCAGGCATATTAAAAGGTTACAAGGTGACGCAAAGACAATGGTGGAAGACATCGAACTCAAGAACGGGTATGCGGAATTCATGATACCGCAATGGAGAGAGGCATGCTTCAAATCGTCCCCAAACATGCTGCTTCGGACTTTATTTTTTGATACAGAAGTGACTTGGGCCGTTTCGGATAGGTCGGA